GACCGATTTTTTTGGTCAACACCTAGACTTTGAAGACACATTTTGAGAGAAAAAATTAGTTTAATCCATAATTGAGTGGATCAATATATTTCTTATATACTCAAGAATGTTCACTTAAAAGCAAATTAGTTTTAATGCATGCAAAAAACTACAAATTCCAAAAAACGGGCTTCACTTTTTTTGGTAAAAAAATGCCCATATATGGTAATCACATGACTTCCATTGTTGCTTTAAGAAATGGGGTCAAACCGGGGTCAGCTTTCCGACTGTTTGAGTTAGGAGTTTTGATTCGCTCTTTGGTATCACCCCACAACTTTTTTAATCTTGTTATAATTTTTTGGTATCTTTTACAAATTAAAAAACTTAGATATGACAACAGATGTCGCCTTTTCTTTACATAGGCTTTATTTTTGTACTTTATAGCTTATGTTAGAAAGTTCGTCATCTCTGAAGCCTTTAAAAACTTGTCTTAACTACACGAAAGCCCTGTATTGAAAATCGTGTCCAAATTTTGCAGGTTCTATTGATATCCTTGAATATATATGTTTTTAGTAGACTTTTGTTGCTAGTATCCTGTCTCATGGACGGCACTTCACATGTACATCTATAAATACTATAAAGTATAAAAGCACAATCTTAAATTAATTCCTATACATAAATAAACCGAACAACTTCTTTTGTCAGCAATTTGTACATTTTCCATTTGATCGTACAGCCTACTATTTTCAACTGAGATCATGGGCAGGACTTGATACTCGAAAGTATTAGGCAATGACGTCATGAATGAGTGCAGTAACGTCACGTGTTCAATTTATCAACCACAATGCTCGCGACTTCATTCATACAAATATCACAACGTTTTGTACGCGTAAAAGTAGTTTTAATAACTATTTCATTTGATTTTATATTTTCAACAAAAAAAATACAAACATACAGTTAAGACAAATTGCCGATAAAAAGAATAATGGCATTTTGTTTTTTGATACTGACTTCATCAGCTCGACCTAGCGGGCTCCATTGGGGCTCGCTTGGTATTCTTTTTGATAAAGTCAGTATCAAAAATGAAAATGCCGTTATTCTATATTTATCGGCAATTTGTTTACTAGTATTTTTCCTTTGAACTTAACAGTCAGAAAGCTGACCCCGGTTTGACCCCATTTCTTAAAGCAACAATGGAAGTCATGTGACTACCATATTTGGGCATTTTTTGGGTCATTTTTTCCTCAACTGAAACGACTCTGTTTCCTCCAAAAAGTCATATCAAATGAAATCAAAGCATGCTGTACGTTACAAATGCCAATTGTGTATACTTTTTAGAAGTTCTCACATAAAAATTGTTTTGATTAAACGTACTGAATTAGAATACAAAGCCTTCAAACCAAAGGTCGTCACTCGTCGCGTCAAGTTTTTTCAACACATCAGTTGAAATTTCTTTCTTAACTTCTGGGGAACCTATGCTGAATTTAAAATATGTGATGAGGCTTTTTATAAACTGGCCCGTGTCAAATTTGTGCCACTTAATACGCTGTAATACGCAAATGTGCCACTTCGATGTGTCGATATTTCTGACGAAGCGGTGCCGATAGTAATTTACGAGTTACGTCCCTTTGTTGACACTTTTCATGAACAAACTTATTGGTACTATCATATATATTATTATTAAATTATGCACCATATACTGTTATATACAAGTGATTATTATTAAAATAATTTTACTAAATATATGTTGATACTAAAGACATATATAAAACAATTAGGTAAACACATTTTATCACTTTTACAACAATTTCAGAACTGAAATAGGGCTTTGATGTTACTCTGTGCCATAATATATTATTCCAAGGGTAACTTTCATATTCATATTTTGGTAAATAATTTTACTGCTGTAACCAATATATATCAACCAGGAACATATATATTGACTGTTCCCAGTATCAACACAGAAATAAATTTCTACTACATAAAGACAAGGGGTAGCCAAAATATGCATGAATACTGGATCTAGACAGGGTTAAAATGATCACAAACAGGAATTCTGTTTCAGTATTGATACCTGATCCTACCTTTTTCATTTACATTAAAAAGAAATTATAATCAAAGTATTCTATTCATTATTAATATTTGAAATAAAAGGAAATTGGTTTGCAATCCTTGTATGATTAAACGAAATATAACAATACATTTTGTCTCATTGATTCCATGCAAGTTCTAATGAATGGACTCAAATTATAAAAAAAAGCCTAAACAATGGATAATTATTTAAAATGGTTTATAGCCTAATCATGAACTTGCGAATAAATAAGCTCGGTCTCATATTCTCCTTCTTTTATTTAAAAAAAAAAAAACTTTGCTTATTAAAAGTATTTCAGAGGGACAGAGCACTTTCTGAGTGCTAAGTCAACAATTATGTTTTAGATCACAAGTCATAAGTAAGTCACACTTCATGTAAGTATAAAAATGCGTTGAATAAGAGTGATTAAAATGCGTCTGAAAGAGATTTTTTTAAGTTCAAAGGGCAATACTTTTGCATTTACTTTTGCAGGATTCCTTTATCACAAAAAAAATGATACTAACAATGAACTGAGTTTTTTTTAGTCAACTAAGGTTGTGCACATACAGTATAAAATTTCCTTACCTTATTGATTTAGTTAACGTCAAACATTTCACTTAAAGAGAATAATTAATCCAGTCAAATTCACAGCTGAACTCGCCATTGCTTTTTCAAACAAACACACTAAATGTGTGTGCATTATGTTCAGATGCATGTTGACATCGATGTGTATGACCAAAAAACTACAATGTCAAAAAATGTCTTTCTTTTGGAATTTAGTTCGGATGGGGTTTCCTAAGGGGTGACAGAACGTTAGACTTGATTTTTTTTTTTAACTTTGAGATATTATTAATTTGTTATATGGTATAATCTTTGTTTATCTGTGAAAAAAGAAGAAAAAATAACAGACAATTTCGCATAATCTATTAACGTAATTGTTAAAAGACGGCCAAAAAAGAAGAAAAATAACAGACAATTTCGCATAATCTATTAACGTAATTGTTAAAAGACGGCCAATTTAAGTATTATTTTCTTTAATAATAAGACACGTGCTTAAAAGATAGAAAGAAATCTATTTCTGATCCCAATGGCAAGTAAGAAACAGAAAATAGAAAATTTTCCAAATTGCCGCCAAATTATTTTTTCCGCGAAATTAACGCAATTTCAGAATGGCGGGCTTTAATATCAGTCCCATTGTTGTCTTATGAAAGTAGCAACAACGGTCGTTTCTAAGGGCTTGCTTTCCGACTGTTAATGCCTGATATTTATGATATCATGGACAGGACCTGATAGTCGATGATATTAGGCAGTGACATCATGTATCAGTGCAGTAACGTCACTTATTCATGTCATCCGCGTCAATTCATCAATGCAATGGACGCGACTTCATTCATGCAATTGAACAACTATCACAACGTTGTGTACGCGTAGAAATAGTTTTGCTAATCATTTCATTATATTTCATATTCTCAACACAACAAAAATACAATAACTTACAGTTCAAAAAATTCAAATTACCGATAAACAGAATAATGACATTTTATATTTTGATACTGACTTCATCAAGTGACAACTCCACGACAGATCCAACCATTGGATAACCAGTGAAGGTGATACACGGCTGAAAACACATATTATATTCAAAATTACTCTAAATATCAGCACAACAATGTTAAATCTGCAAATTTGCGGAAGCAAATTTTTGTTCTTCCCTATATATATATTCTATATTTATTATGTTTATATAATATCAAACGTAACATCAAAATCAATACACAAACGATTTGATAAAACAAAAATACCAAACAAATACGGTATCGTTATTCCGAAGCACTTTCCTATATTCACCTTACACTTTTACATAACGATTGAAAATGTATGATGTGAATTTATTATAGAGTATTGATTAAAGTTATGTAAATAACAATGTATTGTGTATTGCAGATGAATATATTGACAAGTTGCTTGATTTTAATGGTAGCTGTAGTGGCTGTTCAGTCTCGGATTCCAGGAATAAGTAATTGTATATAATTCAATATGTGAAGTGATATATATTTATAAAATCTTTTAACTAACTACATTTTTCTCCAACCGGTTTCACAAATTTTGTGAAAATCATAGATGATAATGTATCATCCAATTAAATTAGTTTTCACAGGACTTTATATGTGTACGATATTAAGCACAAAAAGGTACGCCCAATCTTTCCTGAATTTGATATTTCATGTAATCAAATAAAACCGAGTTACATCTGATTACGAAAGAGCCTAATTCATAAGCTTTTGTCATCTTTTGATAAATTTAATACATATATAATAACTAGATGTGTCGGAACGACACGAATGGCCCCGCTCGACATTTTCAAAGTCCAAAGCCTGTTGTTTTGGCAAAAATCATTGGAGAGGAACCAAACGTAAACTCGATCTGTAACTCATCATAGTAAACTCACAAACTAATAATCCGCTCAATATTTGAAGGCGTTTAGAAAAAAACCCGAATAACTGTTCGTTGCGGAATGACGGAATGACGGATAAGGGTAAAACTATATGGCCCCGAAAACTTTGTTAACAGAGTCCGTATAGTGTGAACATGCACGAGCGTAACGGATTAACCAAGATATGTAAACCCCATACGATAGTACTGAGAAATGGTAAGTTGACAATAGGAAAGTTGAAATCATCATGTCTGTCATATATTCTGGTTTGAGGTCGTCCCAAATTTTTTTAATAATTTGAAAATGACTAAGATGTGACTTAAATTCAATGGAAATCTGTCCTACCTTTCACAAATGAAACCTTTGAAATCTTTAATGATGAGGACTTTAAATAAATATACATTTATTTTAGTTAATGAACTGAATTATACGTTATTGTTTAGAATTTTACAAACAAAGATCATGTTTATCATTTTTAGTATTTATATTTTTTCACTAGTAAATGGCTGTACCGGTTGCAGCGTTAGGGGCGTTTGTTATTTACCCAATCAAGAATGGAAACAAGGTTGTTGGACAAAGAAATGTTCCGTTTATTCAAACGGTTACGTACAAGGATGGAAAACACTAATTGTAAAAACACGTATGTATACGTTTTTGAAAATCGTTAAGATGACAGGATAAACAGATTGTGATTATTGTTATACATGTATTTAATTTCAAAATATATATTTCGTTGAAAATTTGCATTCTTTCTTATTGCATTATTGGTGTTTTCTCAAATTCTGTTCAATCCATGTTTTGAAACTATCGAAAATATTCTTTATTGTTCTACAATGTAGTTCTAAAAAGGAGATTACAATATGCTAATGTTTAATAGTAGTCTCAGCGTTAAAGAAAATGCACAGATTTCTATTTTTGTCAGTGTAACAATCAGTCGATATATGATAAAAACTCATCGAGGAAACCAAGCTTTAAATGTGGTTCACAAGACTAAATTCACTGTGCTTAAACGGCTGTGGGTAACTTAAGTTGGATGGAGCCGCCTGGCTTCGGTAAGAAACTTCTCTCCTATATAATAACAATACAATGAAAACAATACAAATGTTCAGTAATTAAAAAGTTGTATCAATCTTTTAGGGAAACACCTAAACATAAAAGATGATTGAATACTGCAAAATAAACGATCACATTACGATTTTCGAAAACACTTAGGATGTCCGTAACTTGAAAACAACTTGTCCGTAACTTTTTTCATTATACCAATAGGGATGTCCGTAACTTTAACATGATGTCCGTAACCTGGAACATTATATAAATAACACATAGCTGAGAGAGTGATAGAGCAGATTGTTACCCCGAGAAAACATTGTCAACCGCGGCGAAGGCATATTGAAAAAAAATTCGAATTGCCCATTGTAAGGATCGTTCATATGATAATTGTATGTTTTCTCTTGTAGAGTGTCCGGATACTTATGGTAGATGTATAGATCCCGGTCAAAAGAATTCTGGAGGGTGTACCTGTACTGTTTCTGGAATACATTGGTCATACAGATGTAGAGGAAAATAAATGTCTTTCAAAACTAGGACGTATATTCTTTAAAATTTACACACAAAAGTTGTTGAAATACGTAATAAGTAACCGAACTTTTTGTCTTTTCTGTCTTTTTACAGGTTGTAATACACTAAAAAACAACAAAATATTTTTTTTATGTTTCTAACATTTAAAGAACGTTTAATTTTCATTTTCTTTTTTCCATAGAAGTAACCCATTAGTTTTTACATATCAATAACTGCAAATAATTATAAAGAAATTAATTTCAAACAGCATTCGCGTTGTTTGTGTTTCAAACTTGTATCTGTGCTTAAAGGGGCATTAGCTACGCGATATGAAAGAAAACAAAATAATATTGAAAGTGAATTATTCGACCTCTTGGATCCGTATTCATATGACCTTCAATTTAACACCTTAGCTGGAGATGGGTTAAAAATGTATTCAGCTATCAAAATGAAAAGAAAGTCAACATTGAAAGTGAAATAAGATGAACCATTTGGTTGACTTATTCGATCCACAAAAAAAAATCATTCTTATGCTGGTAAACACGACGATAAACATACTTTATAACATACAATTTGAAATCCAACAGACCTAGAAAATCCAATTACACGTGGTCTCTATCTGTTTATATTTATATTATGTTTATGTTTATATTTGGTAATAAGACCGTTGGCAGTCCTCGGAGATCATCTCGGTATTAGATGACATCTAAACAAAAAAAACACAAAATGCCGATACATATTATTGATTCCATGCATTGTTAATTGTTTATTCTAGCCTTTTTGTAATTTGGATATATGTTTCAGTGTGTCTTAATTCAAATATGACAATTTGAGTCAAATTGGTTAACATGAATTAGACAGCTTAAAACTTAGTCAATAACAAATTCAAAAACAATAAAAACAAATAAAAAAAAAAACCAAGAAAACAACACAAAACAAACAGCAACACAATCACAAATCGCTCTGTTAAGCTAATACGACCAAAGCCAGTGGTTTATGCTGTAATGCGAGATTTCAAACTTCACCTAATCTGGACCAGTGGTGTAACTACATAACATAAGAACAAATGACAAATTAGTTGAAAACGGCTTAACTCCACAAATCGACGTAATCGCAGTTACTGGAAGCTATATCAAAGACAATTGATAAATAATTCATGTTTCCTATAATAATAGTACACATATCTTATGGACTAAGTGTAAAGACGTCATCACAGTCTGAGAAAAACATGACCTAGTGCGATCCCAAAATATAGATAGATTTTAGTACGGTTCAAAACAATATTTAATGTTTTATAAACAGTGTTTAATTAATAACCTTTAAGAATAAGTTTAGATAAAGGATCGATATCTTCCATGATCATAACTCAATTTACGGGCTCTATAAACAACATCAAACAGATAATTGTACTTCATGAACAATTTTATTTAGACTTTACTTATTAAAATCTATAATATATATTTATGATTAAAATTAAATAAGCTTCTTTTATGTTTAAATTTGAATATACAAATTAATCCCTACTCGAAGATACCTATATTAATGACAAAGAACGACATAAAAGGAGGGTTTACAAATGTCGAAGATTTTTCCAGGTTAAATAATTATTTCACTTCTATCTGCATACTGTACTGTCTTCTGCTCTAAAAAAGCACAAATGTTTAAGGTGAGTCAATTATTGAAATAGCAACTTGTCCAATATCATTGCATAGAGGGTTTTTTTATTTCTATTTATAGTTGTGTCTCTCGTCTGGAAAAGAATTTGGGATTTTGAACCATATTGAAGACACAAATTCTGATTTTCCAATTTATTCTTGTGCGATCCTCTTTGGTATAATTTTCTGAATAAATCTATTCTTGTGCGATCTTCTTTGGTATGATTTTCTGAATGAATCTCTGCATTTATGTTCGTTTCAGGTTGTTTCAGCACTTTAGGACTCTGACCTATATAATTTATCAATTCTAAATCCAATTTCTTAATATAATATATTTCTCCCTATAAAAATAAGGAGATTTGATATGATTTTCAATGAAACAACTATCCACCAAAGTTCAAATGGAGTGGATGTAAGCAATTATAGGCAACTATACAGCCTTAAATAATGAGAAAACCCATACCGTATAGTCGGCTATAAAAATATGAAACAATTCAATTAAGAAAACTAGCGGCCTAATTTATAACAATACAATTTACGAAAATCAAATATGACAAACATGACCCTACGACAACCACTGAACTATAGGTTCCTGACTTAGGACAAGCACATAAAGAATGTCGCGGGGTTAAACATGTTTGTGAGCGCTCAACCCTCTCGATCCTAACCTGGGACAATGGTGTTACAGCACAACATAGAACAACATAAGAACAAACCATAAAAAAATCAGTTGAAAAGGTTTTAACTCATCAGATCGATACAAAACAGAAAAACATCTTACAAGAACTTAGACCGGACGTGGCAGAGTATTTATACATTCCTAAGAACAAAATGATGTACATTCACTGTTCTAAAATCTGTTGATACCATTACTTTGGCATTGCACAATTTAATGTTTTACTCTGACTGTTAACGACCTTTTTTGCACTTAATCCATTTTAGTTTTAGATACATGATTTTGTATTAGTTTTTATGTGGCTTTGAACTATCTTTCAGTAACTGCGAGTACTCTCAGGTCTGTACTTTTTGTGTTTTGTGAGTGTTTATATGTGCTTTCTATCAATCTGATGAGTTAACCCCCTTTCGATTAATTATCATAGTTTGTTCTTATGTCGTACTGTTACACCAGGTTAGGGGTAGGGTTTGGCACTAGCAAAGAAAATTAGGAAGAAAGAAAAGAAATTAGCAGTATCCTTTAACTTTACTTTCCGCTATATAGATGATGTTCTCTCACTAAATAATTCAAAATTTGGTAACTATGTTGAACGCATCTACTAGTATCCCAACTTGAGATAAAGGATACAACAGATACAGTCAAGTCTGCCTCATATTTTGACTTAAATCTAGAAATTGACAATGAGGGTCGGTTGAAAACAAAACTTTACGACAAAAGAAGTGATTTCAGCTTCCCAACTTTCAATTTCTATGTAGCAACATTCCAACAGCGCCTGCATACTTGTATATATCTCCCAGTTGATACGATATTCCAGGGCTTGTATTTCCTATCATGATTTCCTTGAAAGAGGGTTGCTGCTCACAAAGAAGCTATTAAACCAAGAGTTTCAAGTAATGAAGTTGAAATCTTCCATTCGTAAATTTTACGGACGCCATCACGAGTTGGTTAACTGTTATGGAATATCCGTTTCACAGATGATAGCGGATATGTTCCAAATGTCGTAACTAGAATCCCATCCCATTTTCTCCTTATGTGACTTACCGAATTAGACTTATTACCGGGTTTGTACTAACATGAGCAACACGACGGGTGCCACATGTGGAGCAGGATATGCTTACCCTTCCGAAGCACCTGAGATAACCCCGTTTTTGTGGGGTTCGTGTTGCTCAGTCTTTAGTTTTCTATGTTGTGTTTTTCGTACTGTTATTTGTCTGTTTGTCTTTTTCTTTTTTTGAAAGTTTATTTTCGACTTATGAGTTTGAATGTCCCTTTGGTATCATTCGCATCTCCTTTAGCAAACATGTTAAACCCCGCCAAATTCTGTGTGTGCCTGTCTCATGTCAGGAGACTGTAATTCAGTGGTTGTCGTTTGATGCTGTATATCATATTTGTTTTTCGTTCATTATTTTGTACATACATCTTTAGTTTTCTCGTTTGAATTGTTTTACGTGTGTCATTTTAGGACCTTTTATAGCTTACTATGTGATATGGGTTTTGCTCATTGTTGAAGGCCGTAGAGTGACATATAATTCTTTTCTTATATGTCATTTGGTATCTACTGGAGAGTTGTCTCATTAGCAATCATACCCACCTTCTTATTTTTATATTGAAGGTTTTTAGATAAACATAATGACAACACAGGGGTTATGATGTCATTAGCTAACGATGGCTTTAAATAATATGCTATTCACAGTTTTCTGTGTTACAAAATGAACAGTTGTCTTAGATTTTTGGGTCGAAAATATAAGTAACTATGCATATTTATTGATGTCAAGTTCATAGCAACAGTTTTCATACCCGCACATTTTCACATCGTGACTGTCATCGACTGTAATGTCAATCGCACAAATGCAATACATGTACAATTAAGAGTTTACTTGATAAAATATAAAGTTTTCCAATACTTTATTTCTTTTTTAAACTTCTTAATTGCCATCTGAGCTTAAATTGAAGTAGTACGTCTAAAATGAAATAAGACGAGAAAAAATAATTCAGGTTTTGTGTTTAGTTCATGCAGCTACAAACTGAAACTTTGAGTGAAATTGTCAGTCTTGATTGCTTTGCCACAAAGAAAAATAAAGCGTACCCGTTTATCTTTTCCAGAGTTCCTTGAGACAAAATCCGAATATGTACAATATGTTATCATATCATTCCTCCGGAAAACACACGTTATACCTCAAGCGGTTTGTTAATTGAAATAGAAAATGAAATGCTTCAATTTATTCCGAATGATTACAATATAACCCTCTTTAGTGATTTTAATGCTAAAACAAAATTGTTAAATGATTTTTTCGTCCTAAATGAAGACTGTTAATTCTTTAGGTGCTTTTGATGATGATGAGACTATGCATTACATGTATGACTTCCAAACTCTTGTTCAAAACGTGATACGCTAACAACGTTTTTCTCAGGACAAAGGCTGTCCAAATAATATCGGGCATAGATTGATTGATTTCTGCCACATGTAAAATTTGTACCTGGTAATGATTTTGAAATTGGAAAGTCAACCTGCAAAAATGTCTCATTGGTAGATTATTTTATTGTATCGTAATCTATATTTCCACACGTCAAATCTTTTCACGTAATGGATTTTAACCCAATATTTTCTAATGTTCATTGTTGCATGAATATTGTTCTTTTGCAAAAAATAGTCATTATAATCAATCTTACACAATTATAACTAGTAAAAAGAAACCATACGATGGATAAATTCAAAGCAGAACGAATTTACTCAATCCATTGAAAATGAGGAATATGTTTCAGATATTGCCGAATTGTTGCAAAATTGCATAGATCATTCTATTCAAATGGGGGTTAATCAAATAGTAGACAAAATTTGGATATATTTGTTAATACCTCGAAAATTGTTTTCCAGGTAAGAACATACACCAAAAGCAATGAAATCTAATTCACAAAGGAATGTCGTGAGAAAAGGAAAATATTACATAAGGCGAAAAAAAACCCGATATAGTTGCATATAGAATGCAGCACATAGAGACGAATTGAAGGAAGCAAGTAAAAAATTTAAAAATAAAATGCACACAAGCTACAAAAAGCATCAATTTGATCTTAAAAACAAAATTCAAACAACATAAAAAAGAGATCCAAAAAAGTTCTAGAAAATTTTGAATACTTTTGCAAAAAATAATATAGATAACCCAAAAAAACAAGAGGCTCTCAAGACCCTGAATCGCTCACCTGTAATTTTTTGCTTAAATCTTTCATCAATGATTACTTATCCTTTTTAATATGTATTAATGAGTGGCTTAAAAAATCCATTGAGATGTTCTTTATATCTGTCATATTTTCTTCAAAAGCAAAGAAATACATTTTACCCCTATGTTCCATTTTAGCCATAGTGGCTATGTTTCTTGATGTACAAGAAAATAAAATACAAAATTTATACTAGATACTCTGAAACTCATTCAGCCCAAGTTTGGCTGAAATTGATTCAGCAGTTTCAAAGGAGAAGCTTCTTTAAAGTAAGCAAACTAGATGAACAAATTGTGAAAAATTGTCTTTAAAGGGCAATAACTCCATAAGGACAAATTTGACAATTTTGGTCATATTAACTTATATGTAGATCTTACTTTGCTGAACATGTGTTCCTTCGGAACGGTGAGCTAAAAAGGAAAAACGAACAAAACGACAAACAACAGCATACAAAACACAGCATATAAAACTAAAGATAGAACAACACGATCAAACTAAATTAATTAATCATGTTAGTATGGATCAATTTGTGATAATAAGGTGTCTATAAAAGTAAACAATCTGTATAGAAGGTATACCTAAAGAAACACAGAATGGCTGATTATCCAATCTTTCAACAATAGCATATTATATTCATGAAAATACAGATAATATCTTCAAATATTGTACAATATAGCAAACTGGTAATGACATCCAAACATAATTGCTGTGAGGTAAAGTTCTATTTGGTAAAAGACCTTTTTGTCGGCATTTTATGTGAAAAATGTGTTTAGATAAGGATATTCAACATCTGTTTAATTTGTCGCTGTATATAAAAGCCTGATAGATACATACACATCACTGTTGCGACTTCAATTTGTACCAGGTAGGTTTAGATACACGTTTTTAAGAATTGAATGCTTCTTTTTGTAAATTTATTGGGGTGTAAAAGCGTTGACCGAAGTACATTTTGTATGAAGCGCGGAAAAGCTTCATTCTAAAAATGTGCGCACAGTCAACGCTTTTACAACTCTATAAAACTACTAAAAGAAGCATTCAATACTTAAAATAAATTTTTTTGCAAGTTTTTCTTTTATTTGCCTGTGCACTTTATTGCGGAAGCTCGTGTCATCATGAATATTACATTTCATTTTGAAATGAAGGTTAATTTCAAAATGACGCGAGATTGCTGTTAGCCAATCAAAATAACGTATTATAATGAAACATACATGAAATGTAATTATTCTATAATAATGCAGCTAAAATGATAACAATAAAAGCATAATACACTTTTTCTAATAATTATAAGAAATAAGAATGGAAGTTTCATTATTTTTTCACATTTATAAGTAATCTATAGTTACAAATTAAAGTGTAAAAAAGACTTAATTCATTAAAAACGCTAAACTATTTTGACAATGTCTAGATCAATAATACCGATAGTATTTCTTTAAGTATGTTCGCTTCTCTTGTTTGAATTTTTGCCAGATATTCATAATCCTCTGGTTTTATCCATGTAGTGCCTTTAAAAGGTTTGCCCGCAAATCCCTACTCTTCTTTTTATAATATTATTACATATAGTTTAAAAAGCCATATTTGAAAATCTTATAAAATCCTTTTTATTATTTCATAGTTTTTGAAAGAAAAAAATGTGCCAATGTTAAATGTATGAAAAATCTAGAGAAAATCATTTCCCGCCAAATTTTCAATTGATGATATATCAAATACAAGGATTGAACCTTTCATTTTTTTTTTCTGTTGTTTAAGTTCCGTTATTTGTATACTATTAATTTATAACAGTCTTTTAAAAAGCTTGTTATTTTGAAACAGAGGAGCGAACATCCTTTAGTGTCCTTTGGGTATTTTGATATACATATTTACTATATACTAGTATTTGATCTTCAACTGTCTGAAAGAAAGGTGGAGCTGTTGAGTACTCTATAAACCATCAAATATTTTAATACGTTTTTGTGTCTTTCCAATATCAAGCATCTGCCATTTGTTGTCAAGTTTATTGTTTTCGCTCCTAAACCATTTATAGTAAATGTTGATTCTTAGTCATCACTCAATTAATTAATTCATGTTTTTTCAGGACGTTTGCGCATTTTTGTTTTACCTGTAACACGAAAGGACATTTGCGCTTTAAACTTTGATACATCTGAACTGAATTGACCGGACATTTGCACTTTTTACTTATGATAGTTTACTTGTAATATTAACCAAATTTACAAAGATGTTCACATATTCTTTCAAAGTTCTTCCGAACAAACGACAAAAATCAGAAAATAATATCCGGGTGAACTCTAGAGAAAACGAAACTTTTATAAATGGAACATTTATATTTTGTCCTAAATTCTTCAAGCAGCTTTTTACAAGTCGTGGATTTGAAATTGGAAACTATATTCGTCGTATGTCCATACTATTGCACGGATAGTCCGAGCAACTGTACCATCATGGTTTTACTAAGCTTGTTTCAATTTGGGAAAATCGAAATTTGATTTTTTAAACCACCAGCTGTTTATGTTGACTGACTTTTAAACAGAGTTATCATGGTTGTTATATGGAATTTACTCCTATCCGCCCCGTTGAAGTGTTGTCGTTTTCATCTGACACACGCATGATGGGGAAAGGTTAAGTCTTTTAGCTGTATATAAATGTATGAATGTATGTGTATTAACGATATTTTTTTAAAACATATACTTATATTGATACTTATTTATAAAGACATAGCATCGTGTATTCTCAATATCAAACCTAGTATATGGAAGGGATTTCATATAAGTAATGGCAAAACAAAACAATGCTTAAACAATATATAAATAAGGAGATGTGGTATGATTGCCAATGAGACAACTATCCACCAAAGTTCAAATGAAGTGGATGTAAGCAATTATAGGCAACCATACGGTCGTCAACAATGAGAAAAACACATTACCGTATAGTCGGCTATAACCACTGAACTACAGGCTCCTGTACACATAGTTTTCTTTATTTAAAAGTGCTTTACTATATTTATCTTCTATGGGAAATGGACAAAACAATGAAATTGTATGATTGTCCATTTGGCATTTAATTCCCATTTTATTATGTCAGATCTTTATAAACAGTTTTATAAAACTTAGAACTGTGTAAATAACCGTTTGTGGTATTGTAGATGAAGATGTTGGCACGTGGCTTGGTTTTCATGGTAGTTGTAGTGATTGTTCAGTCTGGAATACTTAGAATAAGTAATGATATATAATACATTTAAGATTATGCTAAATATAAGTACAATCCAGCTGATGGGCACGCTGCCTTAATCATAATGGTAAACTTCGATTTAATGTTTATTTCAGAACACGTGGTGGATATATTAGTGAACAAAAAAGAATATTTAAATTTGAACGAGTTGAAATTGCGAGATTTTCTTAAATAATGCATTATTTTATACTAAAAATTTATTTTAATTTGACTCGACAGTGCGTCGTGTTCTTGTGATATTTAATAAAACTATATACTTATTATTGAACGTGTTTGCTACTATTTACTCAATGTATAAAGCCGGGCAAATTATAAATAAAATGCTTAATATGTGGCGCATTTACGCGGTGATACCAAATAGTTGTGTGAAATGATATGCATAAAGTTTAGTTTTCCTGGTTTTTCCATTTGACATAATGCATATTTTTTATTGAGCTAATAGATATAAGAAGATGTGGTATGAGTGCCAATGAGACAACTCTCCACCCAAGTCATAATTTATAAAAGTAAACCATTATAGGTCAAAGTACGTTCTTCAACACGGAGCCTTGGCTCACACCGCACAGCTATAAAGGGCCCGAAAATTACCAGTGTAAAACCATTCAAACGGGAAAACCAACGGTCTAATCTATATAAAATACGAGAAACGAGAAACACTTATGAACCACATCAACAAACGACAACTACTGAACATCAGATTCCAACATTATCAATTATCACATACCAAAATTATCATTTAAACAACTTCAGATGAGTACGACATTCAGCACTATAGAGGTACGATCAATCTCCTTTGAATTCGTTTTATTTACATCGTGTAGCTATGCTTCCGATATAACTTTGGTTGTTAAAAAAGTTACAAAAAAGATTTTAATCCATTTTGTGAATCAATACTCGTAGTTCTGTTTGTTAAAATATTTCAACTTTCCATTTTAAGCCCTTTTTAAAGCATTTAAGCTTTGGTAGTATTTAAAAAAACGATATAAAGTTTTTCAGCTTTAAACTATCTAACGCTGTGATTCTCTAAATTTTAGTAAAGATAGAAAAATATCTCTTTAGGGAAATTTGCTTTACCGCTTTGAAATAAAACCTTTAAAAATCATTAAGGAGTTGAAATATCCATATATAAATTTAATATATGGAGTATTTTTTACAACTTTATTTGTTCTATCAGACACATAACATACGTGTACTAGTATTTGATTGTGTAAAATTTTAAAACAACAATGTTGACTATTTTAAATATTTTAATCTTTGATAATAATATTTTTACCAGTAAAAGGCTGTCCAGGTTGCATTGTAAAAGGTGTTTGTTATTTTCCCAATCAAGAGTGGAAACAAGGTTGTTGGACAACGAAATGTTCTGTTTATTCGTACGGTCACGTGCAAGGATGGAGAACATCGATAGTGAAAACACGTATGTTTATTAAAAATTATAATTTTATTGAAACTCATTGTATATGAGGGCATGGATGGGGGTCCTTCTTTTCTCTATTTTGTAAACCCCTTCCACACCCTCGTATATCGCTTTCCTGAATTCTTTAATTTTTTCGCTCATTATTCTTTATCTTTAAACATAATGGTTATTCTGTAATTACTTGATAACTGTATTCTGGACATCGTTCTTCTGTTATCAGTATATTTTCACCCAATTCTTTAATTTTTGCAGTTATTCTTTATAAATTTGGCACCCCATTATTCTCTATTCTTTATTTTGTTTGGCCATTTATCTCTATTCTTTATTTTTCTTTGCCCATTATTCTCTATTTTGTAAACCCCTTCCACACCCTCGTATATCGCTTTGTTCACAATTTAAACAAAACATTTTTTTGACCTGATTTTTTAATTTGAAAAATCTAGTTTCTTGTTGTTCCATTGAAAAAAAATCATATATTTTCATTTTTGTTGACAGAACTCAAGACTGAGAAACAAAAGAACAATAAATGAATATTACACTTAAAACAAAGAAAAGTTGTGATTAAGTTCTACCAACCAGGCAAACCAATGACCTAAAATTATTATTTGCTGCCTCTTCGCTGAGAGGGCGGCATTGAGTGTTATAGAGCAAAGACTGGTCGGCTTGAAGTCAGAATAATGTGTCCTGGTAGGTTGACATGTCTTCCTGTGGACTGTTATCTTGTTAACAAGCACGTTTAAAATCCTGTTCTGCGTGTCGGTTCTATTACAACGCATGGTTCATACTCATATCACACTGAATATGCATTTCATTTACCACTGGGCGTTACTCAGCCATCCACCCATCTACTTGACAAATGTTTTGTAATTCGCACTATAGGTATAACTATTAGTCATTTCTAAATGCAAATCTTGATTTTTTTTTATTTGATTGTGCTTTAAAGTTTTTAAGCCATTTTGACAGGAACCCATTAAATAATTTATCGATTTGCCCATTGTTCACAATGATAATTGCTTGTTTTGTGTTTTAGAATGTCCTGGCAGATATGGTACCTGTATTGATCATGGCCAACAGATTTCACATGGGTGCTATTGTAAGGTTTCAGGATTGCAGATATCATATATTGGCTATTGTTATGGGAAATAAAAGTGTTTGTGTAAAATGTATACCGAACTGTCTTTAGAATTTACACTTAAAATAATATAATAAAGAAATAAAGCATCGAATTGCTAGTCTTTGGTGTCAATTTTTCAGATTTCTTGTAGAAAGCTTGTTTGCCTGATAACACGGAAAATTATACTGTCTGTTTAGAGACGTAACTTTAGAGTGGTAATAATATTGATAATTGAAAGTTATCACGGGAAAATATTTTATGCAATATTGGAAGACGTCATCTTTCAGTAGCAAAAAATTGCTTTTATTTTCTTATCTTAAAGGGGTATTAGCTACGAGATATAAAAAAGATCCAGTAAGATCCTTGAATATTTTCTTTATCGATACAAAATTAGATGTTTTTTTAATTTCAATATCAACTAAGCATATAACACAGTATTTTCCCAAAGCGCCTTTCAGGATTTACTTTCCTCAAGAACAAAATGTGCGTTAAAAACCAATGATTGAAAGCCTCGGGTGAATAAATATTTGATAAAATTGAGAATGGAAATGGGGAATGTGTCAAAGAGACAACAACCCGACCATAGAGCAGACAACAGCCGAAGGCCACCAATGGGTCTTCAATGCAGCGAGAAACTCCCGCACCCGGAGACGTCCTTCAGCTGGCCCTTAAACAAATATGTATACTAGTTCAGTGATAATGGAGTCATACTAAACTCCAAATTATACAAAAGAAACTAAAATTAAAAATGATACAAGACTAACAAAGGCCAGAGGCTCCTGACTTGGGACAGGCGCAAAAATGCGGCGGGGTTATACATGTTTTTTGAGATCTCAACCCTCCCCCTATACCTCTAGCCAATGTAGAAAAAACAAACGTACAACAGTATGAGTAGCTTTATGACAATGGGTGTATCTAATCATATTAGCCCAACCCATCTAAGGTCAAATTTCCATGAAGGAGTTTGAACCTTCCGTACTTTCTTAATAATTTAAAAAGCTATCAACGGAATAGTTGAACTGAAATGTATGTTATTAATCACGTCAGTGGAGAGGCATTGACTTCTCGGCTGATGATACCCTGGTGGACTAGGTGGAGAGGCATTGACTTCTCGGCTGATGATACCCTATATAGTGGACTAAGTGGAGAGGTATTTACTTCTCGGCTGATGATACCCTATATAGTGGACTAAGTGGAGAGGCATTGACTTCTCGGCTGATGATACCCTAGTGGACTAAGTGGAGAGGCATTGACTTCTCGGCTGATGATACCCTAGTGGACTAAGTGGAGAGGCATTGACTTCTCGGCTGATGATACCCTAGTGGACTAAGTGGAGAGGCATTGACTTCTCGGCTGATGATACCCTAGTGGATTAAGTGGAGAGGCATTGACTTCTCGGCTGATGATACCCTAGTGGACTAAGTGGAGAGGCATTGACTTCTCGGCTGATGATACCCTAGTGGACTAAGTGAAGAGGCATTGACTTCTCGGCTGATGATACCCTAGTGGATTAAGTGGAGAGGCATTGACTTCTCGGCTGATGATACCCTAGTGGACTAAGTGGAGAGGCATTGACTTCTCGGCTGATGATACCCTAGTTGACTAAGTGAAGAGGCATTGACTTCTCGGCTGATGATACCGTAGTGGACTAAGTGGAGAGGCATTGACTTCTCTGCTGATGATACTCTAGTGGACTAACAGTCCATTCGCATCAGTATCCGACCAGTGTTATATAATGAAAATTACAATATATTAATTTGGTGCGTTAATCGAAGCGCTTTTCTTGATCCACTTCAACAGGAACGCTCAAACAAAGCATTCACACATTTTCGAGACTAGGGCAGTTATGAGCTTGACATATTGTGTAAACACATCTATTGTGTTGAAGCCAGTATGTTGAACTCTAGGTGTCTTTTCATGTTTTGTGTCCGGGGGTTGCTATCCATTATGTTTTGCTTCCTTTGATTATGAATCGAATACACAGGCTTTGTAAGGGAATGGAAACGGACTATTGAAACATTTTCCAATTTCAATCTACCGAGTAGCATTTTATTTGAAAACTCTGTTTAAATGGTCAGCATATTAAAAATCTACTTGTGGTCTTGTAGTCATTGCTTGCTGATCATTGTACACACACAAACAGTAAAAATGAAAGAAAAAAGTTCAATTGAAAGGAAAAAAAGAAAAAAAAAGGCATTTGCAGCAATTTTCACAAGCAAAAATATTTTGCCTCGCGGAAGACGTCATTTTTCAGTAGCAAAATGTTGTTTTCCCCCTTATCTTAAGTGATTCCGTGACATAATGTCTAATAGTATCCTTAGAACTAAAATGATTGGAATTGATAAAAGAGATTTCAGAAATAATTATCAAAACGGGGTACTACACAAAATGTATTGGCTGTGTACTGATGAATAACTCAGTAACTGTGAATGCTTAGAATGGTACTCTGTGTCTAAGTCTTTTTGTTAAGTTTTTTTTTTATTAAGCTTTTTGTCGAACTGATAATTCCAAGCATTTTTCAAGGGATTTTTCTAGTTTGTTCTTATGTCGTGCTGTTACAACACTGCCATAGGTTAGGAGGAAAGTTGAGCGCTCGCAGACATGTTTGGTCCCGCCACATTCTGTGTATGACTGTCGAGATCCAGTATTTTAGTGGTTGTCGTTTGGTCTCTGTCTATCATAGTTGTTTTTCGCTTATTGTTTTCTATTTTCATCAGGCCGTTGGTTTTCTCGTTTGAATTGTTTTGCATTTAGTTAACTCGGTGCGGTATGGGTTCTGCTGATTGCTGAAGGCCTTATAGTGACCTTAAGTTGCTTGCATCTTAGTTATTTAGTCTCTGGTTGATAGTTGTCTGATTGCCAATCATACTACAACATCTTCTTGTATTTATATGATACTGTATTTTTGTAAAAAAAACTTTGTAGGTTTTGTCCCCTTGTTCATTTAAACACTCCCCTAGTAGATTTCTCAAGTTTTTCTTTTCTCTTATGAATTAGATATCAATTATATAAAATCGATTTGAAAATTCGACCTATTAATATAATTTGTTTTTATTGTGTCCAATATCCACATGCTGTTTTTGGAAAAAAATATGTGTTAAAAATTTATTTGTCAGTAATTGAAAAATATTTAATGGTGCATCATTATATTGTTGCTAAAAGGTAAAAATTAAAAAATCAAAACTCAAAACAAATAAGGAGATGTTGTATGACTGCCTTGAGCCAAATATCCACTAGATACTAAAGCTAAATGTAAACATCTTCAGGTCAACATACGACCTTCAAAAATGAACAAAACACATTTCGTATATTCAACATTTTTGGATGGTTGGTGTGAAATTAGTTTGGTTTAGGGGATTAGAGATGATTGTTTCGCATTGATTTGTATTGATAAGCTTTTAAATTAATAAACCAACATATTTCCGTTCTGTGTTTTTCCGATAATAAATTTACCCTAAATTGTGACCCCCCATTTATTTTGGTACTACAACAGTGTTTATTCTATTATAATTTATTTTAGTCCCGATTGGAACTACAAGATTGCAGTCAGTATATTTCTAAATTAAACATACGAAACCACAGAAAAGAAGCAATTAAAACCAAACTTTGATGAATGATTTCTTCAAAATAGATTCTGTAAATGTATTTTATGTTTCTTTCGATAAACCATAACTATCAGCTTTACATTGAACCTGGTGCAAACTATTTTGTCATTTACAGTCAGTGTGTGCTTCTGTTTGTGCCTGTCCCAAGTCAAGAGCCTGTAATTCAGTGTTTGTCGTTTGTTGCTGTATATCATATTTTTTGTTTTGTTTATTGTTTTGAACATAAATCAGGCCGTTAGTTTTCTCGCTTGAATTGTTTTACATTTGTCATTTCGGGGCTTTTTATAGCTTTCTGTGCGGTATGGGTTATGCTCATTGTTTTGTCGTAAGGTGGCTTGTATTAACTTCTAAGTCATTTAGTCCCTGGTGGAGAATTGTCTCATTGGCAATCAGACCACATCTCCTTTTTTTTCATATTCAATGTTTGATGGTTGTCAAATACAAACGTCATAATGTTATATTACGTAGTTTGATTCATGATCTAAAATTAAGATGCAACGAATATATCTTTTCCTACCAGTGTATGGCTGTCAATATCAACTCAGACGTAAAATTAAAAAAAAAGAATAATTTATTAAGATTTAAATTGCAATTTGATCATGTCAAGAACACAACAATGTCAATTCAATATATAACAAAAGTGTGAAAAACTTCAATCTGATTAAAATACAGACCTTTGTCAAATCTTTACTTACACCTTGAAAGCAAAGCTCAGACAAAGGATCTTAAGTCATAAGCAATTCAGTATACTTACGATCAATCTTAGTCGTAAGTTTTTTTTAGTGAAACTGACTCCTGCAGTTTAATCATATTTAAAAAAAAAAAACTATCATAAAGGTCTAAAACTTGTACGCCTTTGCAAACATTTCACTAAATGAAACTGATTCTAGAAATTCTTTCAAGTTGTATTTGCCATCATTATCATAATCCAGTTCTTCTACAATACATTTAGCTTGTTCGCCTTCGAATCCATGACTTGATAGACCTGCTTCAAGTTCCTCTTTAGTCAGACTTCCACTTCCGTCTTTATCCATTTCTTCAAATGCTTTCTTCAATTCGTCACTGTAATGAAAAAATTTATGTAGATCATGCACAATATATCAGTCTGGATATTTGATTGATTGAATCAATTGATTGAATGATTCTTTTTATGTTTAACGCCACTTTCAACACAATGGCTATTTCATGGCGGACAGTTTTTATTGGTGTAGGAAGCCGGAGTGCCGGATACATTATTCTGACTCCTAGCCGGCTAGTCTTTGTTTTTACTCCTTAATTCCGCATGCTTTGCGGAGAAGCAGCAAATGCCAATTTTAAAGTCTTTGGTTTGACTTGCCCGTGTAAACTGATATCGACTGCTCAGTTCGGCTGTATTACTGGAAATGTTATTAAAAATATACACGAAAATGCAGATGCGTTAACTGGAACCTATTAAACAATTTTGAAAAACCATGAATTGTTAAAATGAATAGTTGAAACAGCTGACATTTTTTAACCAGTTGATTGATGTTTTCGTCATTGTAAAATTCATAGAGATGTCACAATTACATCTTATGTAAGTATCGTCTCGTAGCTAGAGTATTTTTCATATATTCATATTTATTAGATAAAGATTGCATTTATATTTTACTACTGCCAGTGAATATTCACAAGGATAGATCTATGTTATTCTCCCTGTACTTGTATTTGCCAAAACGTGCTTGCCTTTTTAACCCTTCATGGAGACGTTTGATAATTTATGTGCTTTGTCATATGTTGCTATTTTTGTTATGTATTGATAGCAAAAGAATAATGTATACAGAAAATGAAAGGATATGGAGTAAATGTACATGGGACAAAATCGCACACAATTCATAGAAAACATAGAAAATTATCAATGAACAGGGCTTTTATTCCTGTTCTTCATCTTGACAGTTGATGAAGGGTCTTCAACAATGAACGAATCATTCATACCCTACAACAAGGTCAAGACGCAAAATTCAAATTGTCTTATGTAACAGACTATCATTTTCTGGTGGCAGTAAAAACTCCTCTCGGTCTTAAAAATGGAATGTATAATTTGGTTAGCATATGCCAGAAATATTTGCACCTGGACGTTAAGCGAACAAATATTAATACATTTTTATCATCATGGTTTTCATTGACTATGGAATCTGTATGAACATGTATAATATTTTAATCTTATTCTTTATTTTATATGTACCATTTTTGAGTTCTGAGTATGCCTGTCATAAATTCCTCTTTCGTTAAATTTTTTGCTTCCTTTTGTCCGAAGAATATAAACTTTTCCTGAAATGCAACAATTACAGTGTAAAATATTATCATCAGCAATAAAGTTTTTTTCATTTTTTTTTCTTCATTTTACTAATGTTATCTATAAAGTGTCTTTTCTGTACCGATTCTTATTCTACGGTCCTCTTTGTCCCTATTTAACTTTTACTATCAAAATAAAGAGTGCTAAAGAACCTAGTTTCACTTTTAGCCCATTACAATGTACCAGTTTAAAACCAGAAACTTCGCAAATTGCTTTACTTGTTTTTATACAAAATTGTGAAATTTGTTGTTAATGTCAGTTTTATTGTAGTCTCGGATTTATTTTTATTTTCTTTATAGCCTCTTTTAGGTCAAGGTGATTTAAAGCTCGGAAAATGGTGCAAGTACTCCTCTTTATAGCCTCTCTTAGGTCAAGGCGATTTAGAGCTCGGAATATGGTGCAAGTACTCCTATTCTATAAACTAGAACCGGTGTACCTTAAGATGCTTTTATTTTGCTGGATTGCTGTCTAATTGACGTACAGCGAACATCTCTGGTTATTTTTACTTGTCTTTAAATGTACAAGACTATTTGGTGCCTTATGGATAACCTTTCATGTATCATTGTAAAGTCAGTATCCCATTTTCGTACACCCACGCCTCTTTTTCATCAGACCGCAAGGTTTTACTAAGGTATGTATATGAAATAATTTCCTGCAAGACCCATGCAGAGCGACGGTCTAGGAAAAGAAATAAAGAGCTGCATCATGAGCGCATGATACGCCCGTCTCTTTTTCAAAGAATAAAGTTTCATAACTCCTCAATGTCATATCAGAAATTTATAAAAAAAACTAAAGGGAGGTTATTCTAATTGATATAAAACAATTCACCACAGTTTCACGAAAACTGCTCAAAACACTTTTGAGTTATTGTCCGAAAACTGGAAATCCCACCTTTTTAATGAATAAAACCCCATAACTCGGAAACGTAAAAATCTAAAATTTATAAAAATCGAAAGCGAGCTCACGTCAATAGATATAAACAATTCACCTAAGTTTCATGCAAATTGGTTAAAGCGTTTTTGAGTTATTGTCCGACATGTTGATGACGGACGGACGGACGGACGGACGGACAACGGAATACCATAATACGTCCCGTAAACGGGCGTATAAAAATACAGACACTTTCGGTCAGATATGGGGAGTAAAATCGTATGCAGCGTGTTGGAAGAGTGCCCTCTGCAATGTAAAGAACATTAATTTTCTTACTTGACAATGTCTGGTTTACTTATTGTGTGGTACAGGTGTAATTTCTGCCCCTACCCTACAAATTATCTTTTTTCCTGTGGCAATTCAAATTTCCCGTACTCCATCACGTTCGATCCAATTTGCAGAATCAACCTTACCAATTGGTTTATTGCTAAAGTTCTTGTAAAGTACTGACAAATGGAATTCTAAGTTAAGCCAACAAAAGTTAATCGATTCTATTATTTGTATATATACTAGTAAATGTCAACCCCATATCTCCTAACATTTATAATAATAAGATCCTACACATAAAATCCTTTTGAAACTCCTTACCTGATGAATAAAATATATCATGATTGTATACAAGTAAATAATAATATTACGAATTAGTGGTAAACAGGTTAACTAGACACGATACATTGTATTTTGATATCCCATGACGGTTTTAAAAATGAGAAATAATTATTATATTTTGATGATGAATGTTAAAGAAATACCAATGCAGTAACTTTAAATTGTTCCTTTTCGGCTTTAAAGGCAGTTTGTTTACTATTCGTTTTTTAACAACATGAAAAACTCGGTTTGATGTTGTTTTGGTTAAATACTTACATTTATATCGAAATCATCGACCGTTTCGTATACTTCCTGGAGGCATTGTTTCACCTCCTCTATTGTAAGAACATCGTTACCATCTTTGTTATATTTCTTCCAGTAAGCTTCTGCTTGTTTTGGTGTTACTGATCCGGCCATTTTGTAATTTCGATTTCCCGAAAAAGTTTTCTCAATCACTTCCTCTCACACAATTACAGGTAGAAAGATGTTTATATGTAGGCGAGTGTCACGGATAAAAAATCTGTGGAATGTTCTACTATATTGTCATACTTGATGGTTTACACCCTTACATGGATAATATTTGTGTTATTACAAGATGATAAAAATATTTACCTTTAATAGTGTGAGAAAAGTGGAGTGAAAAGGGACAGATACCTGATCAATTAATTATAAACTTACTTCCCGAGGACAATCTTGTCCAATTATTTGCATTGTTAATCTGTATATTTTAAACCGAACTTGACCGATGTCCGTATTTTTTCGAATATCAAATTAATTCTAAACAACGATTACCTTTCTTTCTCTGTTGACGAGAATGTGTATTTAAGTGAAGTGTGTGGAGGAAGGGTGGGTACACTTTAAATTGATAATTTACCGGTTCGATTTACTTGCGTTAATAAAGATGTATATACATTATTATAGCATACTGTTGTAGTCCCTTTTTCTCATTGCGATGGTTATTTATTTAAATCAGTAAAATAAGGACAAATGTCTTTCCCACAAGGAGATGGCCGGATGTATGGATATTTTATATGGAATATTAATAAAACTCTCAAATTTGCTAGTTTGTTTCCAAAAACTAAATACATAAAATATACAATAACAACATATTGAAACAAACTGTTGATTACCCGTTAGTGAAAACTATTTACCGTTGCATAAAAAAATATCGCTGACACTCATTCCAAATAGATATAGTGAATCATAACTTCTAATGTTTCGTTATGTTTTTGAAAATAAAAAAGTGAATATTTATCAAACTATATCTTTGATTTGCCTTTAGTCATATAATAATTAACATAGTCTTGCGTGACGGCTATATATTACCCGACATCAATAAAAAGTTAGTATCGATTTAGTCGAAGTACAAATGCTCGCAGAAAACACGAAAGCTGTAACCATGTTCAAGGCAACAGCAGTGCCTAATTTTTATCGAAAAGTTCTTGAAGGATAAACATAGTTTGTTTAAATCGTGTGATTATTAATTTAATCGACGTGTAAATGCTCGCAGAAAACACGAAAATATAACTATGTTTAAAGGCAATAGTAGTGCCTAATGTATATCGAGAAGTTCTTGGAGGATAAACATATTTTGTTGAAATCACGTGATTTATATAGAAAGGACCAACTATTAAACCTTTAAAATTCAGAAATGATACATTCTGTTGGAATACAAACACCATTAGGTATTAAAGAAAAGTGACCTTTGTTAATGTCTAATTTCATTAATCTTGTGCCACATAAATATTATAGGGCTTATCAGCTGTTGCATTCTCCGGGGACTCGTGTTTGACATAAATGGCCTTCTGTGAAAGAAAAAAAAACTTTAACATAAAAGATTCGCTTTGTATTTATATTAACATTAAACTTTTTGAAAACACTTCTGAAAGATGGTATGTACTATTTTAGAATATATTATGTTGGTTGAGAAAATTATATGTGCGCCATATTACCGTATGTAAGCATATATTCAATGTTCGTGTGATTTATTTTTTTCACTTGTCGTGTGGTACGATATAATGTGTTGTAAAGCAATGCATGCATTGCCGTTTCCCAAATGTTTTATATTTTTTCTTTCATATTGTAATTTCGCTTAACTTAATGCATATTTCTACCAAGAGATTCTTTATCAGGATGTTAGATTTGTATAAGATTTGAATTCTTGTAATGTTTGTAAAAATGTTGGAAATATTTAATTTTTTCACTAAGTCTTGTCAGTGTTGGTAAAAAAAATACATGTAAAAGTGACTAAAAAACAACTACTACAGTGTTTACAGATTTAGTGTGGTTGAGAACTAAACTTACGGCAACAGCGATGATATCAGCTCTCCTACTGTGAACTTACTTTTTCAATGCAGCACATCCCAGCAGCAATTGCATCTGGACAATATGTCCAATGGTTCCTAGTGGGGGTTCCGCTATTCCTAGATTGTAACATCACGAAATGAGATATATCACCGAATTTGTACTTACCATGATCAACACGAAGGGCGCCACATGTAGAGCAGTATCTGTTTACCATTCCGGTTCACCTGAGACCACCCCGCCCTCAGTTTTTGTGGGGTTCATGTTGGTCAGTCCTTGCTCTACATAGTGTTTTGTAGACTGTTGTTTATCTTTTCTCTGTTTTTGTTCTTTTAACATGGTTTTTTTAGTTTGTCTTTGACTTATCGACTTATAATTTTTTATTATTCTTTTGGTATCTTCTGTCTATTTCTTTTCTTTTTTTTTAAAGCAAAATGTATTCAAATTTAAAGATAAAAGGTGTATATGGGAAACCTTTGCCCGATTGTTTTCGGAATACTTGACATTTAATGTTAATATTTGCATGTTAGATACTAGTATAAGTTACAAATTCTTCAACGTTTTCGGTCCTTATACATCCCTGGATTTCAAATATTCGGCTTTGAGCGTTCTTTCTGAGGATAGATCCAGAAAAGCGCTTAGGACGCATGTTTATACCGTGTTGTTTTCATTTTTTACAGTTAGTTAGATATAAACATTTGCTTCTCATGAGTCTTACAGCTTAGCAGGCTTTTATAGCCAACTATACGGTATTGGTTTTTCTCATTGTTGAAGGCCGCAAGGTTGCCTGCAATTGCTTACATCCACTTCATTTGTACTTTGATAGATAGATGTCTCATTGACAAACATACTTATTTCCGTATCTTTGAATTAAGAGGGACACGGGGGAAATCATGTGTGCAACTTTTCTAAGAGGGTCACATAGAGGTATGAATCTTTCAGTAATCCTTTATTATCAATTTACCAGGATGCTCTTTCAACTATCAAACTTGAGATAACATTGTTTAAAGAAACGAGTCCTTAACCATGTCAAATGTTCGGACTCCTTTGTTTTTATACGGCTAATGGTTTTATGAGTTTCAAAAACATAACGACAAATTTATTTGGTAAAGGTAGATAACTCCTATAAGATTTCAACGGGTCGCTTCCATCCAAATCAGCCAAAAATTTCTGAGGATATAACGAACAATTTAGAAAAAGAATTTTGTCGATATCTTTTTTATTTTACGAAGGAGATGCACACACAAGATAAACAGTGCATGAGGAGATAACTCTTACACAGAAAATTGTTCGGCTAAAAGGGGTTAAATTTAAAAGCGCATAAACTACGATAATATATATAAAATATCTAAGCGACATATTGCGAAACAAAAATTTGACGCAAGATCAAACTTTGGCGGAGGAAAAAAAAAATATAATAATAAATTATAATCAGAACAAAATCAAAAGGTCTTCCCACAGAAAAGTGGAAAGACCTAATAAAACGAACCGGGGCACGACACCCGGTGAATTGTCTTTCTGTTTTATTATATTAAAGTGAAAATATTGTGATATAGCTTTATCTTCTTTATTCTATCTTAATTTAGAAGATGTTAGATATTCCTTCAAATGTTTGCGTTTCTGGTATGCGATGATATGCGGTGTTTTAAATAATTGTTTTTTTTTATTATGATGATGTCTTCAATTTAAAAAGCAAAGAGGACACATTTGCATTTTGCACAATCTGATTAAAATACAGATCATGACAACACTCTGTTTTACTTTCTGTTCTGCGGTAGATAGGGAACGACCATTTAACTTCAAAGGGGGAGGGAGGTTATGGTTTTTTCCTAAAAAATATATTCTGAGCCCCAATTTGATGAGAAAAATATTGTGGTCAAGTAGATGACAAAAAAAAATATTCTGAATCCAGATTTCCCAATACCTTATAGTGTTAAATTTTGAAAAGAATAATTTGATTAATAGCGTCGAAAAACTAATTAACAAAATTTCTGATTCAGACAAAAAAAAAATACCCCCTCTTCCCCCCTCCCCCACACACACACACCCTTGAAGTATAATGGTTGCTCCCTTATTATATCAGCCAATGAAATTTTTGAAAGCGTGTATTAATCCGACAAACCCAGAGGATACTGAAAGGTCTTTAAAACAGAAAGTAGAACGGAGCATTTTCAGATCCTCGTAAGCAAAGTTTGGACACAGGATTAGTATTTTAATCAGATAATTCTATGTAAACAAAAGTGTGGAGGTTTCACCCTTCTGTAAACATCATTACAGTTTTAAGAATATGTGTGTCTAGACAAATAGTTCTCTAGAACATACACTATCTTTTCAACCGCTTTGTTATATTATAGATGAGCGTGTTTGTTATCCTCTTTCTTCTGACATTGGTCAATGTCTCTGTCGATGCAGACGGACACTGTAAGTAATTATTTTGTTTTCTTTTTTTGTAATTTGTAAATGAGATAGAGCCTAGTTAAAGTAATTTTACACCCTCGTCCTTTGGTCTCAATGGCAATCATGCCATATCTCTTCATTTTAACATTAATTTTTATGAAATGCAAGTCCTTGATCCCTTTTTTTTTGGGGGGGGGGGGGGGGGAGGGGAGGGGGGGGGGGGGGGGGGCAACATAACGTTTTGAATGTCTTTTTACATGATTTTCTGGTCTGCGCCGAATTCTATATAGTGTATAAACGTCAACGATAATTAGATATAAGAAGATGTGGTATGAGTGCCAATGAGACAACTCTCCATCCAAGTCAAAATTTATAAAAGTAAACCATTATAGGTCACAGTACGGTCTTCAACACGGAGCCTTGGCTCACACCGAACAGTAAGCTATAAAGGGCCCCAAAAAATTACTAGTGTAAAACCATTCAAACGGGAAAACCAACGGTCTAATCTATATAAAAAACGAGAAACGAGAAACACTTATGAACCACATCAACAAACGACAACTACTGAACATCAGATTCCTGACTTAGGACAGGTGCAAACAAATGCAGCGGGTTAAACATGTATTTTACCCAAGGATTCAGTTGCCTCAATAGGCCGTTTCTGAATCTAAAAGACTATAGGTAATTTTATTGTTCGTACACCTAGATGAAAATAACGTTACGTCATTGGTTGAATTTCCATTGTTTGGGACATTTTTAACCAATCACGACGAGTGTACACTTTTGAAAATATTACTAATATGAAAATAAGGAGATGTGGTATGATTTCCAATGAGACGACTATTCACCAAAGTTTAAATGAAGTGGGTGTGAGCAATTATAGGCAACCGTACGGCCATCAGCAATGAGAAAATCCCACACCGTATAGTCGGTTTTAAAAGGCTCCGACATGAAAAGTATGAAGAAATTCAATTGAGAAAACTAACGGCCTAATTTTATTACAAAACAATTTACGAAAAACAAATATGGCAGACATGAAACAACGATGCATTTGATTATACCATTTCATACATAATACTGGTTAATGAGCAGGTTAACAATGGACATGTAAAACTAAATACATTTGTAATTGGATTCTCTTTGCTTTACAGTCTTGTAATACAAGATTGCCTGTTGAGGAACACGTTTACTATAATAGAGAAAACTATATCCATGTAGAAACGAAACTCAATTTAATCTACCAATAAAAAGCTCAATACTAAATGGAGTTTCCTATAATATTTACATCTTTCCAATGATGTCTAAAATATTAGCATAATTGGGTCATTTTATGCTCAAGAAAAACAATACAAGTTTCTTATTTCGTGGGCACGAGTTACTAAGTCGTGGGCACGAGTTGCAAAGTAGTGGCCACGAGTTACAAAGTCGTGGCCCCGAGTTACTCATGTCGTGGCTAAGAGTTTCTCATGTCGTGGCAACGAGTTACAAAGTCGTGTCAACGAGTAACAAATCTGACGACATGAGTAACTTGTGACCACGATTTTGTAACTCTAAGCCACGACTTAGTAACTCGTGGCCACGACATAAATTACTCGTGACCACGAATTGTATTTTTTTTTCTTGAGCATAAAATGACCCGAATAAGCTTTCATACTAGTATCAATCCGATTAAATTGAAAATGCATATAAATTCTTATATGTATCATCAGTTGTATTGCAGGAAAAATATTCCCCAACAAGTTTTCGGATATTTCACGTACTTTATTTTTTTTTGCGAACTTCCTGTAGTCTATAGACAAAATTCTTATAAAGATATCAGTTTCGAAAAAAATAGATACATGTATAATGTAAGTGATGATATTATATAGTATATATGTGATTGTAAGACTGAATAAAGAACGGAGCCTTGTATGATTACATATTTCAGATAAAGCTTCATGGAGCTATTATAGAACATCCGTTGTGAACGCTCATGGAGGATACAATTGTTCTGGGTGCAGGGTAAACGGAGTGTGTTATTTAGCCAATCAACAGTGGAAACAAGGGTGTTGGACGTTACAATGCAATGTTCAAACTCTTGGTCGTCTATCAATACGACAATCAGTCCCAGTCAAAACTCGTACGTTAACAACTTTTTTAGCCTTCATTATATAAAATTAACTTCCAAGAGGACGGACTTATTCCCGCAACACCTCATTTTTTGTTTCACTAGCAGGGTCAAAATTCAAAAGTTGTAAACTTGCTGGAATTTGAATATCAAAGAGGTCAAACATTAATAATAAAGAGTTCACAATTATTTAAAAATATTGAAGAATGTCCTTTTATTCATGTTTGCGATCATTACGGATTTTTTTTTAAATTTCAAAATCAACAAAAAATTGCAATCTAAAGTATTTGTTCAGAAATATTTCAGAATATTGTAATAACTTTAAAGTACGTGCATGAAACTTTCATACTTTACGAATTTTGTCGAAAATGACCATATCATTTGCATATCGTGAAATACATTCAGCGGAAATTGAACCTATCGCTTTCTCGTCATATGTAAAAATTACTAAGGTTATACGTTGTTAAGAAAAAAATATCGCATCTGCATGATATTGCTTAAATTATTTCTTTCAAATTTGTTTGTACTGACATGTGACCATTTTTTAAGTTGCTGCAATTTTCCTAATTTTCAATTATAATTAATGTAACACAGTTTGTGAGTCGTTTTTCAAATAAGATGGTGTTGGCCAGTTATATATATATCTGTTTTATTTTGTTTGTGTTTTTCTTTCTTTATGTGTTGTCGTTCAAATCTCTTATCAAGTAAACATCAGGCGGTTAGAGCATAAGAATTAGAATTAACATATAAAATGTATTATAATAAACACATAGACTTTTGTTGCGGTTGAACAATTTGGCATGTTTTACAAATCCGCCTTATATTATTCAGATCGACGGATCACTTCAAAGAATACATCGGAGAATTAAAAAATAATCAGTCATTAAATACTTTCCCATTTTGCATCTTTTCATATTTTCACTTTCAGTGGATACATGTACATTTTAACCTTATAAGAAGAAAATATAAAATGCTCTTTTTTTCTTAAACTGATTTTATATCACGGTAATTTTTCTTTTGTTTCTTGTATATTTCCCACCATAAACAGCTGAATAATAGACATCCACTGACATTTATTTTTCAATTAATTGATTTTCTTTAATAAAGTCTACCATTTGTTTGTTCAGTATTGCTAATAACGTTTTAAATACAAAGCACATGCATGTTTGCGTTTTAAATACAAAGCACATGCATGTTTGCATGGTAGTGTACCCCATCCACAAATTGACGTTTTGGTAAACATTCATTCATGTTTTTCTAATTGTATTATTGTTTTCTTGATAGAGTGTAGAGATTCATACGGCAGATGTGTGGATAACGGTGGAATCGACCTCAGTAGACGATGCACATGTCAGGTGATGGGAACATCTTTCAGATGGACATGTTTTGGGAAATAAATAACTTGGAACAGCTTGTTGCATTCATGTGAACTTTTTTAGAATACGTTTAAGTCAAATTTTCTGTATAGATAATTCTTGTTATCTCGTCTTAATAGTATGTATATATCATACAATTCTAAATTTAAGACAGCATTTCTCAAAGGAGACAAACAATGATTATATCATCATTTATATGTCACTTTTACAGTATAATGTGTGCATTCAGTTGTTTCTTTAAGCGGGTTAAGGTTAGTCAAGAGAGACAACTCTGTATCAGTTTATGTGATGCCGAATAAAAAAAGGTGACATTGTACTTTGAAGCTATCTATAAAAACAACGTACCAGTGATTCGCAAGAGTTATTCCCCTTAGCCTATGTCAACCTCCTAAAAGTACTTGTATGTATTATACTTTATTGTCGAAAATTTTCAAGCAACATGACTTTAATTTATATACGTATCACGGCTATGTGACAATTTAGTGATTTTCCAATGGTGACTAGACATTTTAAAATCTAAGTAGTCTTCCCTTATAGTAGAAGAAATTACTATTAGGGTTATCAAACATACACATTCGTTCAATCAACTTCAATGTATATTTTTTTTTTATTTCTTCAAACCGTGCAATTCAATTTCCCATCTAGTCAATGACTGACTATTTGATGACACATTATAAGAGGTAAGAGAGTGATTGGCAAAACATACACAATAATGGGCCTAAAAAATAAGGAATAGAGAAAAAAATTACCAAAATTTTAAAGAATAGAGAATAATTGGGTGTTAGAATATAAAGAAATACAGAATTATTGGCAAAATAAATAAAGATAGAGACAAATTGCGTAAAAATTTACAAACTACAGAAATGTAGACCCCTTATCCAGACCATCTTGTTATGCTTTTCATTAATTCATAACCAAATTTCGCGATGTACCACAAAGAAGGATACATGGCCTAATCTCTATAGGACAAAAAAAGTCTACGAGACATAGAAATTATGTTATTTCAAAACATTAAGACTGTACTCCGTTGAGTTACCGGGATGCTTTAATTTATTTTAAAAAGTATGAGTGTTTAACCACGGGTACACGTCATTTTCCAACCTTCTAAAATTCAAACTGACCTTTTTCCCGTGCATTCATCATTCATCGTCCATTCTGCGTGCGTGTTCAGTTCATTCATCGTGCATTCATCGTTCGTGCGCTTATCATTCATCATTACGTGTGTTTTCCTTTCAACGTGCGCTCAACGTTCTTTCATTCTTAATCGTGTAAAGTGCGCTCTACATTCATTCATTCTTAATCGTGTAAAGTGCGCTCAACGTTCATTCCTTCTTAGTCTGTGTGTTCATCCATAATCGTGTAATGTGCACTCAACGTGTGTTAATTCTAAATCGGTTGATAATCGTTCAGCTTTTAATTCATTTTGTAACTTTTAAAATTACTTTACAGTCTTGCATAACCACTACGTACTGATGAGAAAACATTTTGTTAAATTGCGAGATATTCTGAGAGTACTAATTTTCTCATCTACATGTATATTATGATGTTATAAAAATAGGTTAACTAGTATGTGTGTTCTGTTTCTTTACTTTAATATTATTTAGTTGCATTATATTTGAAACAGCAAATATCAAATCTCCTGTTCTCGATTTTGTGTTATAAACTTTACTTAAGTCTATAACTAAAAGGGAACTTAAATACTTTCATTAATTTAGGTTTTGATAAATACCATAACCGGTATCATTTGTCTCAGTTCCTGATGGGCACATGTACATGAGGGTATTCCATCAAGAATATACAATATACAAGGTTGTTATTGCGGATTAAGAAGTTGGATGTCAAACTTTAATTAACAGACTGAGGCGAATCAAGGATTTGTATAGTGAGATTTCATTCACTATACAAATCCTTGGGCGAATTTAACACTGATACCTGTATGTATTTTCTCTTCTACAATTCTATTATCTGATCTTTATTTTCATTTAAACTAAGCTAAATACGTTTGTGACAAATTGAAAAAATAAACATCAGATGTATTTGAAGGAACTTTGCAAATATAAGATCAGGCAAATATATCAAGAACTCCTTATGAATGATTTTAATATAGGAACTTATTTTTTTCCCTTGAAATTGTGTTTACGGGTTTAAAATACAGGTATTTATTTTCTGATAAAATAGTTAAATTTAGGTTATTATGATAATTCTTTATTTCATTTAAAATAAACATTTAACGCTTTCTCAGATTAATTTCGGACATAATACAGAAGTCGCAGGATTAATTTGCACTTTTCAACGTGTTCATGATTGCAAATCTATCAAGATAAAAATCCCGTTCAGCAATTTGGTCTAGTAATACCTGGGACTATACCTGGGACTATTATAATAAATAATAGTCCCAGGAAATACGCACACTGTCAATATGTATCGCAACACATGTTCTCTTCCTGAAAATGCAAGTCATACTATGAATAAGATTGAATGCAAAGTGCAGTTTATTATTTGCAAATTCAAAACGATAATAGTCAAACTATATGTTATGCATCTAAATCACCAATGACATGGGGAAAACTGTACATTTATAACTTTGGTTTTTAAATCATTCCAATTTTTTTTATCAGAGCTTTCATTGTGGGGATTAATACAGAATACAGCATTCATCCATCAAATATAGTACGTTACGTTTGACTTTGTCGAATTGGTTCAACATAATAAAAGGTGTACTGTTAGGTCTTGTGTGCATCATTCCCTAAGGATCGTTTTGGCTTTATAGCTCAAAAATGTATTATTTGTTTTGCCTGAACATTTGAACATTCTTTCTTCTTGATTCCATAATGAGGATAAATTCAGAAATGTGGAATGAATTCGGAACGCTTTACATTGGTTAAATAGTGTAATGTATGTTTCAGAATTTTACCGAAGTCTACTCGGTTTTGACGCCCATGGACACTGTCGTTAAAAGTAAAGTCGAAAATCTGCACATGTACGTCCTTGTTCATATGTATATCAAAATGAATGCCCCCTTTTTTAATAATGCATCTAATAGTTGCCACTGGACGTTAAACAATCAACTATTAATTCATCCGTCTTATCCTAAGGTTTGTTATAATTTGTACATCAACTACATGAAACAACTGCAGATTTACACTATAGTTAGGAGGCCGAAATTATTGAACACATAACCAATCATTCACATCCCTACGTCATACTTTATAAATATCATGCGTCCGAAACGCTTTTCTGGATTTACTTTCACTAGGAACGCTCAAAGCTGAATATTTGAAAGCCAAGATTGTATAAAAAAAGAAAAGGGCGAAAAGCTATATGTCCAATACAGGACCTACACATTCGCCATATTTTTATGTGTCTTGCGCAAATCAGGAGCATGTAGATCAGTGGTTGTCGTTGGTTCATGTCTGTAATATTTGTTTTTCGTAAATTGCTTTGTAATAAATCAGGCCGTTTGCTTTCTCAATTGAATTGTTTTTCTCATTGTTGAAGGTCGTACGGTTGCCTATAATTGCTTACATCTACTTTATTTGAACATTGGTGGATAGTTGTCTCATTGGCAATCATACCACATCTCCTTAATTTTACATAAGAGCTAAATCTATCTAAGGTCAACTTTGCCTGAGGGAGCTGAAACCTTAGTTTCTTAATTTTCTAAATTTATAAACTGACAATTTAAGAAATGTTTGTTATAAATCATGTTAGAACCGAAGTACTGACTACTGAGCTGATGATACCCTCGGAGACTGATAGTCCACCTGCAGCGGTATCGACCTAGTGCTGTAAAAAAATGAAAACAACACTTTATAACGGTAATGTTTAAATAAAATTTCTTTCTTTCTTAAATCAAAACATATTCTTGTTATGGGTTAAATTTCCATTTCAGTTAAATAAAGAAGAGATATCTGTTCATTACATAAACATCGAATTTTTCAGCTATGAAAATTTGTAAACCCTAAAATAAATCATATTTCACTCGGGCAATACCCTCGGGAAATATAATTATTACTATAGTACTATAAAAACCATTATCAGAAAATCGGTATAAAAAGTGTTTGCAATGATTGAAATCAAGTAAAAAGAAGTATATGTATGACTCTGAGGTGCGATTGTGACGCTGAAGTGCGATGGTCACGCTGAAGTGCGATGGACTGCGCTGAAGTTGCATGGTCCGTTCGCTGGTGTGCGATGGTCTATATGACGCGTGATAGCTAGTTTAAAATCTACAGATGTGCAATTATTATGAGCAGTATATTTATTTCATAGTTAGTATATGCATTTGCATTCATTATTATCTATGTATTCATTAGTTACAGTTGCATACTAAATGAGAGATCGTCCTCTTTGATTTTCTGCATGTGGACTTAATTCTGCGTTAACATTTTTCTTTACTTTGTTCCTCTCATGAGATCCTCGTTTATCGTTGAATTGTAATAAGGAGAGTCTGCGGACCCGTATGTGTTTAGAGAATGCCACGCTCCATCGTACGTAAAAAAAAACTTTCGTAGATTTCGCGGTTCAGGGTCCTACATATATGAAGAATTTTACTCAGCACTCAGAAAATTAATACAAGCGCGGTTTATACTGATACCTCTTAGTTTTAGATGTCAGGTAACTAACTTGTGTTTGTGTTGGGTTGCTATCGAATTGCTGTATTACCCACGCATCGTTTTGTTCATGCTATCGATAGCCCTAATGAAGGGTTGATTTTATACAGCAGCGTCATGCAAGGTACACGAAGAAATAACATTAAAGCACCAACCATTCATTTTGTGTTGGCAGAGCATATTTTGTTTAGAAACAAACTTTTTTTCTTTAACATTTTAGAATTAGGGATTTGCTTAGACATCAGTGTTGTTTTTATTTTTTTAAATTAATTTTCAAAAGACACAAACAGTTCTATTTTTTTAAATTAATTTTCAAAAGACACAAACAGTTCTTTGTTTCCTCTCTTCTTAAACAAATTAATTGATTTTCAATAATTGGTGCTTGACAGCTTTTAGCACTTTGGCTAACTGTTTTTTTCTCTTTGGCAAAATATGGCCTTAAATTTGCACTCATTAACATTACATTCGCGCGCAGCTTTTGATTACATTTGCCCGCATTCATTTTACAGGTAAACTCAGGTAAATTCAGAGACTATACAAATTCCCAATCATCCTGTTCAATCAACCTTATCCAATAAACAATTGTCTTTTGATCGTTACTAATTGAATAATTAATAGTACAAATGTAGCTTGAGGTGGTGCATTACATTTGCGCGCAGCTTTTGATTACATTTGCCCGCATTCATTTTACAGGTAAACTCAGGTAAATACAGAGATTAAACTTATTTATTTATTTTTATGTTATTTTCGAGCAGGATAAGTCGGTTTTATTATGCAAAAGCCCTTAGTCCTATATACAGATTAAAATCATTGCACATCTTATGATTAAAGCACTGATTTTGCATATCGTAACGTCCTGCATGTATGAATCCCACTGCTTTCAGGAAACACAAAGCACAAAATACATGGATTTGCTGAATAAAATTACTCATTGTAGTGAGCATGGAACGATTCCGGTCCATTTGTAGTATGCCATGATTCTGATGAAGGCAGTGATGCCCAAAGACTTGGAGGAAATAGGGAATCTGGTGTAATACCTTTGCAATTATTTACGGTGCATAGCCATGAAACATTCCTTGTCATTTAAAAGTGCACTAATGATTTTTCCCCCGATTTGTTTCTGACAAACGAACTCCATGACTGTGGCTTGACGCAACTTTACAAATGACTAAAAATCTTTACTAAAACGATCACTATTACTATTTACTCTGAAATATTCGTAATTAAGTTACATAGATATAGGAAGATGTGGTATGAGTGCCAATGAGACAACTCTCCATCTAAGTTACAATTTATAAAAGTAAACCATTTTAGGTCAAGGTACGGTCTTCAACACGGAACATTGGCTCACACCGAACAGCAAGCTATAAAGGGCCCCAAAAAATTACTAGTGTAAAACCATTCAAACGGAAAAACCAACGGTCTAATCTATACAGTCCGCCAAAAGTTAAGCACCACCTATTTTTATTGCATCGAAATTTTTTTCATTTAAAAAAAATCAGTTATTCCTCGAAAAAGAGAAAACATTCAAGTATTTTTTTACTAACATATACCATAAAAAACATAACTTAAGTTTGTTCACTTATGCAGGTTCTATGCATTTAAATTTTGTGTTTATAGAAATAGAGCAAATTACACAAATCAGAAACGGAATTTCAGTTTCACTGTGATTTTATTTTTTTACAACAATTAATCAGCCAATATCATTAAAATTCAATCTTTACTAATAATCTTGGGTATGTTTGGCAAATTAAATGTCAATATTTGAGTCAATAGGGTGTGTAACCACCTCTCTTCCGGTACAGTTCCATAACACGGCGTCTCATACTCTGTACAAGCCTTCTGAACTTAAGTTGAGGAAATCTATTCCATTCATCAACAATTGCCACTCTTAAATCGCCAAGATTTTGTAAAGGTGGATCTCTGCGATTGATATTTCTGCCAATGGCATCCC